TCCTACAAATGCCATTATGTATTGTTCTAATGTCAGTACATATCAGAGATACTGTAATAATGTAGATATATATTTACAGCATCCTACAAATGCCATTATGTATTGTTCTAATGTCAGTACATATCAGAGATACTGTAATAATGTAGATATATATTTACAGCATCCTACAAATGACATTATGTATTGTTCTAATGTCAGTACATATCAGAGATACTGTAATAATGTATAGATATTTTTACAGTGCTCCACAAACAATTCTGTATATACTGTAATCTTCTGATGTCAGACAATGCCGCTTAGTCACTCAATAGCCATTGTATTAGTCAGACAATGCCACTTAGTCACTTAATAGCCATTGCATTAGTCAGACAATGCCGCTTAGTCACTTAATAGCCATTGCATTAGTCAGACAATGCCGCTTAGTCACTTAATAGCCATTGCATTAGTCAGACAATGCCGCTTAGTCACTTAATAGCCATTGCATTAGTCAGACAATGCCGCTTAGTCACTTAATAGCCATTGCATTAGTCAGACAATGCCGCTTAGTCACTTAATAGCCATTGCATTAGTCAGACAATGCCGCTTAGTCACTTAATAGCCATTGCATTAGTCAGACAATGCCACTTAGTCACTTAATATAATTGATTGTTTATTGTAAACTACTTTCATATTGAAATTGGTTTGCTTTTGTTGGAAAACAGAGTAACGATTAAAGAATCGAGCCACCATAGTAGTACACCAATATGAACTTGTCATCTATTACTTATTTTGCAATCTAAATTTGTCTTTTATTTACATTTTAGTAAAAGAGGAGGCAAACGTTTTAACACTGCACGTGGAAAATACATTGGCCTAAGGTTTATCTAGTCATTACCTGAGACTTGTAAGTGCAACGTCGTACGATTAGTGTGCAAGACAATGTGTAAGAGCAATGATCATTCAGACTTTTAAAGGGGCATGATAGTGGGTGCCATCAATGAGTAAGAATCAAGCAAAAATCTGCAATCATCTTGTAACTTCTCGGATCGAGTTATTATTGCAAGGAAATATGTTGATCTAGTTCGCATTATAACAACTACTGTTTTCATGCAGTACGATAAATAGCATCCAAATCACCATTGTGTTTGTCGTATCCAATGCTGTCTTGATAAGACATGGTATTGGGTGAAATGCTAATTCAGCACTGGATATGACAGATATAGTTTAAATATTCTTCCTTACTTATAAGTTCTAAAAATTTCTAATAAAGTGTAAAGTATGGTAGAAAAGGAGGTCCATGCATTAGAAAAACCATAACATTAGGTGGCTGTTTTGTATGGAAAAATTTGTTCATGATTGTCTACCTTTTGTAAAATACATGATGAACCATAACTTTAGAAATCCTCAAGTGATCATTTTTCCAGCACAGTGTTACATGCTACAGAGATATGATTATTCAACATTTCTGTGCGTTAGAGTATTACCCAAATTAAAGTTTATTTTTATGAACTGTGATATAAATTTAAATAAAAAATAATGTCAGAATCTGAATTTAGTTTGTTTTCTCTGTTAGAGCTCCGTTGTGAAAGGTGTTCTTCAGGAACAAGAAAATAGTGGAAGGCTTATTGCGGCTATCTGTGCAGGTAAAATACATGATGAAAAAAGCCTCAAGTTTATTATTCACTTTTTGTCCATTTCAATGTACAGTAAGATAATAAATTCAACTTGTTACACCCGTAGTATAAATCACTTTTGAACTATATTATAATGTAGAGATAAATTTCCAGCTGTTTTTACTTTGCTTTAATTTAATAATTAGTGATTTGAATTGATTTATAATTGTGAGTAAGTAATATATTAATCAATAATTTTACTGGTGTCTCAAACAAAAAAAATAACAGCTTTTGCATAGTGGTGCTTATAATGAGAACTTGCGTATAGCTTGTCAAAAATGATAAGGCAAGTACTACCACCCACCCACCCCTCCCTATAGTGAGCCAATTAAGATCATTCATGAAATGAATTTGTGGCATATTCATAGAATAATTATTGGTAAAAATCAGTTAGATTGACAACTTCTAATATATAACCATTGGACTGACCCTGTATTGGAGAAGTAGTGTTGACTATAATTTTGAATTTACAAAATGTATCTTCACAAAATGAATTGTACTTTTAGTTGATAGTACAGCTCTGTCGTAAACAGAAAAGCTGTGAAATGCCATCAGCCTGGCTTTGACAAGTCAGAGTACAAGATGATGTTTGTGTGAAGAATAAATATACTTTTGTCCGTCGTGTAGTTTGCAAACTGCTTTTGCACAGCCTCTACAACATCCTAATTTTTTTTTCAGTATCCTTATATTTTGTATCTGGTATTTTCTTTAACGTGAACAGTTGAGAAATCCGCAAGATAGGGGTAACATGAAATGTTGACAACTCTGAAATCAGATGCATAATGCCATGTTGAATGGCACTCTGTACATGTCAAGGCATGCACACTTTACAATTTAAACAACTCACCCAGTCCGATATTACTAACCTATTGATTGATTATCTGTTATGACGCAGAGATAAAAAGTGACTTGCAAACAAGATAAAATGTACGATCTTAGTGAGGATGAAAGAACAAATATGAAACTATTAAACACTAAATTCAAGACAATTGAACCTCAAATCCAAAGTCAATTAACTTTATGTGTACAGATGGGAGTCACCACCTTGTTAAATGACTCACACTAAGGAACAAAACACAAACACCACCTTGTTAAATGACTCACACTAAAGTAAATTAAAAACAACCGTTTGTGTTTTGTTCCTTAGTGTGAGTCATTTAACAAGGTGGTGTTTGTGTTTTGTTCGTATTTCTAGATTTGCTAGAAAGTCATTCAAACACACTATTTTCATAATTTCACTAAATATAATAACACAACTTTTTCCATTTTGGGCATCATATTTGTTCTATAAAAATTTTCTGTTAGCTTTATTTCTTAATAACAATACATATATACTATCGTACTTAGCACCAATAGCTTTGAAAAGTCATGGTATTGGAGTAAAGAAGAGTCTAACTTCGCACCCAAGTAAGCAGTCCGAGATGGAAGACGGAGGTAAGTGTAATAACAAAATTCTAGAAACACTTAGCATTTTTGGGAAATTTGTTTTATATTTCAATGTAAAATATGTTTTAGTTCCTTCACTGTGCAGTTCATATTACCAATGATTTTATTAAGAAAAGTGTTCTGATATTTTACTGTAATGAATTTTCCTTGACTTTTTTATGATAGTCAAGTAACGATAATTATTGATTAGGTAACTGGTTATCCAAAACCTTTTCTGTATTACTAAAAACTCATAAAATTATTGTTTTTCTTGTACTGTAACTGTTGTTAAAAACTTTTCAGAACTACAATAAGAAGTGTTTTTAAATTTAACAAGAATTATACATAAACTTTTCTCTACGTTAAAATACTTTTACTTGTGAGCTTTTGGCCCTTTTACCAGAGCCTTCATTAGGGTCGATGAAGGCTTGCTTGCTTGTTGTCAATGCAGTAATCAATTAACGAATCTTCAGTTAAGCTGGTATGTCAAATTGATTGATATATCTTCAAATAATTTCTTCTCTCATCTGACCTGAACCCATGGTTTAGCTTAATCACTTAAACCATCACATTCGCAACCACATCTAGAACAGCTCAAGGATGTTTCATTGCTACATCATTTTACTTTATATTTACAAGTTAACTTCTCAGTGTTGACTCTCGTGGCCTCAGGTCAGGTCACAGGTCTGGTAAAGTGACCTAGACCTTGAAAATAGTGCAAAATTTTTATTTTCTAATAAAAGCAACCCAAACCTTTCTGGAATGACCCATTTTTTTGGATCCACAATAAGATGCTGGGCTGCCTCGTGTGGCAGGTGTTAAATATATTAGTTGAATGACACTAAGAAGCTCTCTGGCCTATTTTAAGTTATTCTCAAACTAGCTATTTGTTACACACTGGCAGTTTGGACTATACTTGATGATGTGGTATTCGATTTGGAACTAGACCTGAATACTTATTAAGAATTTCTCGTCAAAAGTGAGCTAACTATACAAGTTCAAAATCAAATACTTGAAAAAAACAAAAAACTTGTATATTAAGGATTAATAAGGACAATCTTCTATAACTGGCTGTCTAAAATTATCAAATATTAATACACTATAAAATTATAATGAGTAGAATGCATTGAGTCTCCAAGAGGGGGGTACCCCCTGTTGTTAACAATATTTCAGTTATTCCAGTCATATTTCACAACATTTGACCTGCTCAGAAGATTTATGTTAGACCTACATCAATACATTTATTCAACAATGTAAGTGTAATATTGAATATTATTTTAAACATGTTTTACCTGCACATTCCAAAAGCAGTGCCATAGCCAGGAAAAATGTTTGGGAAGGGGAGGGAGACGGGTATCTTTTTAATCTGGAAAGAATATTTAAACTATATGAATAAAACTAGAAAAAATATCTTCTTTTAAAATGTCGGGTAACCTCTGTGCCCTAATTTCGGGTAACCTCTGTACCCTAGAACGAATCGTCAGTGAAACAGGTCTTTATGAACCTCCTAATATTAACAATTGTTTGATAACTGCTGCAAATATATTCCTTTTTTTACTGTGGACAGAAAAATGTAAAGTAGAGATACGGGTGATTAGTGAATTGCTAAT